TTCTTCTTCTTCTTCTTCTTCTTCTTCTTCTTCTTCTTCTTCTTCTTCTCTTCTACAGGGAATTAAAATTCATTGATTCTATGAATTGCTAGGGTGAAAACTTCCCCAGTGCAGAGCTGATGACCCCTCTGTAACATAGTGTTAGAGAGTCACTTTGGGGACACTGAGAGGTAGAGGATCATAAGATAGTATGTATCAGATGAAGGACTTGAATTCAGTTATTTCTAGTTTCAGAATCAAAACTGTATCTCCTATCCACCCTGTTAGTCAGTGCATACATTATTCTCTTTGTTTTACAGATAAAAAAAAAGAAACTCAAAGAAGGGGACTTATCCAAGGTCTTTCATAGATAGAATGATTTAAAACAATATCGAGACTCTGGATCAAGTGTTCTTTCCAGAACACTAGGCTTATTTTCTAGAGAAGGGCAACTGTAGAAAAGTCTGCAAAAATATATTATTGATTTATACAGGGTAGACTGTGATCCAGGGGGAAACAAAGAGACTATAATTCTAGAACCAGAGAACAGCCACAAACAGCCTCACTTTCTTGTGTAACACAGGGGCAATATAGGACAGTAAAAACCAATTTATATTTGGAGTCAGTTCTAGATGCTTCTCCTTGGAAAGGCCACTTTACCACCATTATCATTAGTTTTCCCATTTTCAAAATGAAAATATTAGACTAAATGACCTTCAGAATCCCTTCCAGTTCTAAGTCTACGTCTCCATGTCCCCCAAGTGACATTTACTGGGATGATTAAATCCCTTCCTAATAAGGAGATGCTAAGGTATGACCAGGAGTTGAGCTTTGGAGAAAAAAAAGTTGGGAATTACTTGCTCCATTTCAACTGTGCCCTGTCTTCACTGATGTTTGTTCTCAATGAACATTTTTCCATCACGTTCTTAATATCTTGTATTTATGCACTGCATTCTCAATGTTGTCAATTTCCCCATTGTGTCTTCAAGAATGTAGATTTCTCCATTACAATCTCAGAGTCATAGGTTTCTCCACTGTGTCTTCGAAACTAGATTTTTCCATTTTGTCATCAAGGTTGTAGATTTCTTTATTATTTGCTGTACATTGGAGATTTCTCCCTCATGTTCTCAATGTTGCAGATTTATCCATTGTGTTCTTACAATTATAGATTTACTGATCTTGCCCTCAGATTTCTTCATTATGTTGTCAGGGTCTCAGGTCTCTCCTTTATGTTATTAACATTACAGATTTTTCCATTGTGATGGGTATACTGGTTGCACTCTCCATGATAGTTATCATTGCTGTGATTATCATCCGACATCAGAGCAAAGCTAAGAGGAAAAAAAATATGAGGTAAGCCTGTTTCCCCTGTGCCAGAGATTCTCCCCCCGGTTTTGTGATGTTCCCAAAGGTGATCTAAATTGAGAGAGGTCACACAATTCTCACAGCAAAATTAACATTAGTCCACTTTTAATAATAAAATAAATGTGTCTGAAAGTACTTTGAGTATTAGAGGAAGGAGAGAATGTCATAAAATCAAATCATGGTAGCAAGTCAACTTCCAAAAGACTGAATTATTATGTATAGAGTGAAGAGGAAAATAATATTACTAAAAGAGCTGACGATGTAGATAAAGCATTTTATGTTTTACCAGGCTTTCCACAGCTATTACCTTACTTGATTCTCAAAGCAGTTCTTCAAGGGACTAGTCCAGGTACTACAATCTCAATTTTATAAACAAGGAGATTGTAACCCAGAGAAACTGATTTAAATTTTTAGATGACAAATAACTTTCTAAGGAGCAGAGAATTGTAATAATGATTAAAATACTTCATATTTTCATTGCATTTTCCATTATCTTCCCCCAATGGCCCTGAAAGGTAGACAGGACCAGTGTTATTATCACCATTTTATAGAGGAGAAGAGTAAAGTAAAGAGATATTAAATGACTTTCCCAGGATCACACATCGAGAAATTGAGTTCAGGTCTTCTGTGACAAAGAAAAGCCAAACACATTCAGACACTTCCTACTTTGGCTCCTTGTTGATGTATTTTTCCATTTCCTTCATTTAGTCATCTCTGGACACCAGAGTGACAGAACACAGAAAGCATTTTTCAAATGTGTACTATGTACTGGAAAGAAGTGGTGTGGAGTGATGGGGAGAGATTTTGGCCTCAGAGTCAGAAAGATATGGTTCCAAGTTCCATCTCTCAAACTTAAACTCCTGACTCTGATTCCATGAAAATCATTTAATCGCTTAGTGTTCTAAGCAATTAAGACTTTGCATTATAGAGAAGGTGCCAACCTACATTGGTAGGAGAAGATCCCGCATCCATCAGTTCCCTATATTAATAATAGTTTTGAAAAATACTTTATGAATTTTATTTCATTTCATCCTCACAACTCTGAGAGGTAGGTGCTATTATTAATCTTATTTTGTCAATAAAGAAACTGAATCAGACTGTGGCTGTAACTTTCTGAGAGTTACACAGCTAATTGGTATCTGAGGCTGGATTTGAACTCAGGGCCTCCTAACTCCAGATCCATCACTCTCTGCACTGCATCATCTAATTGCCTATATCAATGAAATGTCTATCAATGAAATCACAAACCCACTTCTTACTTCCTATGGACGAGGCATTTTGCCAGGTGCTGGGGATAAACAGATAGAAAGACAAGCTGGCCCTGATTTCCAGGACCTTATATTCTGTTATGCACAATGACTGATGGAGGTTTAATAAGAGACCACTTTTAACCGTAGCCAGTCCTGCCCCACCTCAGGCTCCAAACCAAGGCAATGGAGACCAATGAAGAAACAACAGGAAATACAAAGCACTCATTGTCACGAGGTAAGCTGTTGTTTGTACTATGATTCCTTTGTCCTTCCTGACTTCTCTCCACTTCATGCTCCTTTAACTCTGTCCCTTCACTCCTTGGACATTTTTAATCCAAATCATGGATCAATAAAAACATTTATTAAGTGCTTACTATGTGTTAAGCATACATACATATTTGTATACCTACCTACATATATACATACATATAAATGTATATGTGTACATATATGTATCTATAAAAAGACTATGGTAAAAAAAGGAAAAGTGGAAGCTGAACCACAGGACAGATACAACATGCTAAAGGGCTAAAAATAGAGAGGAGAGATCATTCTTTCTGGGTTGGGTGATCATGCATAGTTTTCTCATGGGGATGACATTCGCCATTGTCTTTGAAGGATTGGGAAGATTTTTAATGGGTAAAGCTGGGAGAGAAAATATTTCAAGAAGAAAGAATAGCATGATCAAAGACATAAAGACAGGAAAATATAGATGAGAGAGTAAGACATACAAAAACAGACTTGATTTCAGCTAAGATGTAGGGCTCATAAAGAGGAAAAGTAGGAGGAGTGAATTGGAACAAGACTATGGATGGCAGTGAATTCTAAGGTGAAGGGTTTGGATTCCATTATACAGGTGCTAGGAGCCAGTGAAGTATGCTTTCAGGGAACTTAGATTCTAATTCAAAGATGCAATACATATAGGGCAATCATTGCCAGGAAAAAAAAGTTGCTTTGATCTAGGGAGTCACGGTGATGCTGAGTGGAGCCACTGAGTGGTCCGTCATTATGGCTTTTCCAGAAGTAATAGTATCATTAACATGATTACTGTTCCCAAAGCTAGAGCAAGAAACAGGTGGAGAAGGCATCCATGACAACAAACTGGATGTCAAAATACTGACATTGGGTAGCCTCTAGTATCCTGGTGGATGGCTGAATGGTATCTGAAACACAGTACAGAGTTAGTTAGATGTAATGGGACATACATGATTTAGTTAAAATAAGATTTATGTCAATGTTGTGTTTAAGAATAGTAGAGGATCCTGGAGACTGTATTTAAATATTCCTCAGAGAAAGAAAGAAAGACAGAAAGAAAGAAAGAAAGAAAGAAAGAAAGAAAGAAAGAAAGAAAGAAACACACAAACATATACCTTTTTTATTTTTTAATTAATTTATTTTGATTTATCAACAATCACTTCCATAAGCTTCTGAGCTTCAGATTTTTCTCCCTCTCCCTTCCTACCTTCCTCCCAAGACGGCACACAATCTGATATAGGCTATACATATACATTCCTATTAAACATATTTTCACATTAGTGATGTTGTAAGTAAGAATTAGAACCAATAGGAGGAACCACCAGAAAGAGGAAACAAAACACAACAGAAGAAAAAAATAGCATATCGTATGCTTCGATTTGCATTCAAACTCCATAGTTCTTTCTTCTTTGTGGATAGCATTTTCCATCATGAGAGGCCTTTAGAAATGTCTTAGATCCTTGTATTTCTGAGAAGGGTTAAGTTTATCAATATTAATCATCACACAATGTGGCTATTACTGTGTACAGCATTCTCCTGGTTCTGTTCACTTCACTCAGCATCAGTCAATATAAGTGTTTTCAGGTTTTTCTGATGTCTGCTTGCTCATCATTTATTATTGCACAATAGTATTCCATTACATTCATATACCACAACTTGTTCAGCCATTCCCCAATTGATGGGCATCCTCTCAATTTCCAATTCTTTGCCACCACAAAAAGAGCTGATGTAAATATTTTTGTACACTTGGGTCCTTTTCGCATTTGTATGTTCTCTCTGGGATACAGCCCTAGAAGTGTTATTGCTGGGTCAAAGGGTATGCACATTTTTATAGCCCTTTGGGCATAGTTCCAAATTGCCCTCCAGAATGGTTGGATCATTTCACAACTCCACCAATAATGCATTAGTGTTCCAGTTTCCCCACATCTTCTCCAACATTTATCATGTTTCTGTTTTGTTATGTTGGCCAATCTGAGAGGTGTGATGTGGTGTCTTGGAGTTGTTTTGATTTGCATTTCTCTAATCAATACTTATTTAGAGCATTTTTTCATATGATTATAGATGGTTTTAATTTCTTCATCTGAGAATTAAAGATATATCTTGAGAGCAGAGATCGTTTCAATGTTTGTATTTATATACTAAGCTCCTGGCACAGAGAAAGCACTTTAATAATTACTTGTTGGTGGATAGCTGGCTTTGTTAATTAGTATGAATTATGGGTTGATCTCAGAGCTCTTTTGGTCTAGGAGCTTTCAAGCTTTTTGGGTATTACTTCTGAAGGAGCACCATATCCATCTGGGGGTGATGTGTTGCTATTGTTTCCTTTTTTTTTTTTGACAAGCCATTTTTTAATGTAGATGGGTCCCGTGAGTCCACCTGTGTCTACACCTCCAATGGAAAGTAATAAACCACCACTTTCTTCTGTAAGTATAACAAAATCCCTTCTTCCCTTTTCCTTTCTTCTTAACTTTCTTCCTTTCTAATTTCCCTAATAACATTGTCAGACCTATTTACGTACCTGTTGTCTCACTCATCAGATTGTAAACCTTTGACCATTTCCAAAGTCGTATGTCTCATCCTGCATCTTGAGTCCATCACTTCTCTGTCAGGAGATAAGCAGGCTTTAGGCATAAACTTTCAATCAAAGTCTGAAAGTTCATGAAAATAATGAAACCTTGAGGTTTGGAGCACATCAAAGGACAGAATCACATTTGAAACCATCCCCCTTTGAGGATGAAACTATTTGGAAAACTCATCTTCTTCATTCAGTATGTCCAGGTATATACTCACATCCTGAAACTAACAAACTCTTCTTTTTCCCTAGCTGATTATGAAGCCAACCTTTCCACCGCCTCTTATTCCTACAACCAGGTCCTCATTTGTCCACCCAGTAAGTAACTAACCAAGTGATTCTGAATGATTCATGTTCTTTTCCCTTTTTTTAAAAAATTTTTATTTTTAGGGAATTGGGGTTAAGTGACTTGCCCAGGGTCACACAGCTAGTAAGTGTCAAGTGTTTGGTCTGAGGCCGGATTTGAACTCAGGTCCTCCTGACTTCAGGGCCGGTGCTTTATCCGCTGTGCCACCTAGCTATCCTGATTCATGTTCTTTTCTAAAGATCACACGAGAAGTATATTCCAAACTTAGAACAATGGCACTTTTTCCCCCTCCACATGCACTTTCCACATTCTGTTATTTGTTGTGCTTACCTATGTATATGTGCTATGTATGCCCTGTCTCTCCTTACAAGGATGAGAAGGATAAAAACCATAGAATCACAAAAATTAAGAGCTGGAAGGGGCTTCATTGACCCCCTAGTCTAACACATAGACCAAAGGAATCTCGACTATAACACACACAACTATAGTGGTTGTCGAACCTCTGATTAAATACCTCCAAGAGGGAGACTCTAACATCTCTCACAGCAGCCCATTTCACTTTTGGACAGTTCAAGTCATGGAGGCAGCTAGGTGGTTCAGTGCTGGGTCTGGAGTCAGGAATCAGGAAGACCTGAGTTCAAATCCAGCCTCAGGTACTTACTAGCTGTGTGACCCTGGATAAGTCACTTAACCTCTGTTTGCTTTATTCCACTGGAGAAGGAAATGGTAAACCCCTCCAGTGCCTTTGCCAAGAAAACCTCATGGACAGTGTTGGCATGATATGGTCCATGGGGTCATGAAGAGTTAGACAGGACTGAACAACAAGAAAAGTCATTATGGATTATTTTTGTCCTGACACCAAGCCTAAATTTACCCCATTTATAACTCCCACTTACTGCTCCTGGTTCAGCCCTCTGGCTCCAAACAGAACAGATTGAATTTCTCCTCCACATGCTCTTGCTACTGTTATTCAGTTGTTTTCAGTCATGTGACCCACTTGGGGGTTTTCTTGGCAAAGATACTGGAGCTGTTTGCCATTCCCTTCTCAAGGATCCCATTTTATAGGGATGAAAGTGAGGCCTAGTGATTAGGTAATGTGCCCATGGTAACACAGGTGGTAGGTATGGTTATGGGGGAGAAGCGTTTGAGCCCAGGTCTCTGAGTTCAGAACCAATATTCTCTCCACTCATTTGAGATAGTATTTGTACTGAGAAGAGGTCTAGATTTGAACTGATGCTCCTTTTCCTGTCTCGCTTTCACAACCTAGAAAATTAAGAGATTGAACTAGATTCTGTTTCAGGGGCTTTCCATCTCTAATTGGTGTGCTTTTAAAAAAATCACCTTTTCTTCTCTGTTGGATTCAGCTCCCTCCATCCTCTGACAACTTTGAATGACCTCAACTGTAATAATGGTCACCCCAGTTTTACACGAGACCTCGAGTATATATTTATAATGTCACATTAGTGGTCTGAGAGGGCTGCAGCAAAATTCATGTTTTAAAGGCAGCAATGAGCCTAGTATTTCACATGGTGGTATTTCCTTTTCCTGTTTTCAAACACAAACCCTGGCTGTATCTCAGGTAACAGAAACCTGGGGGAACTCTCCCCAGGAGATAATACTTCTAGAGGCTAAACAGGGAGGTAGAATGCTAGAGTTGGAGGAGGAAAGATATGGTTCAAATCCCTCTCAGACATTGACTGTGTGACCCTTGACAAGTCAGAAGATGACACCTCTACAGCTTGAAAGACCCCAGGGGTCATCTAGTTCATTCACTTCATTTTGCAGATGAGGAAACTGAGTCTCTGAGAGATTAAATGACTTGCCCAGAGACTATCAGATTTGGTAGTTAGTGTCTGAGGTTAGATTTGAACACAGATCTCCCATTATGAGGACCAAATGAGACAATAAATGTAAGGCATTTCATAAATATTAATAAAGCCATATAAATTTGATCTTTAATTAACAGCCATCACCTCTATATTTGTATGACATGAACAGAACAGACACCGAGACAGGGCTCAAATAATGCCCACAATGCATAGGTTGTCTTCTATGACTGCCTCCCAACCCCCATCCACAGTCCCCACAGTCTGGGTCTTAGATAACAATCAGCAATAGTCCAAGAAAGAAAAAGAGGCAAAAGGAAGCCTTCTAGCCCACACGATCCCTGGCTGATGAATTTGGGCCAATGTGGAACATCTCCTGTTGCACTTGCTCTATTCTCTTGCTCTCTTCAGGATCCCAAACGCCTTGAGAAAGGTGCTTTGTAATCCTTAAAGTGATAGGGTGAATGGGGCACAGGCCCAAGGAGTCAGAAAGACCTGGGTTTGAATTCCACCCCAGTCACTACTTTTGCTATGTGACTTGGGACAAGCCACCTAAATCCTCCAAGCTTGTTTCCTCACCTGTAAAAGAGGGGCAGTAACAACACCCGCCTCACAAGGCTGTTGTGAGAATCAAAGCAGATTATACATACACATAGCTAGATAATAGATATCACTTTGAAAACCCTAAAGCACTTTGGAGATGTTAGCAATTACTCTATTATAATTATTCCCTTAACTCCTTATTGTCAAGTAATGCTCTCTAATAACTGCATTCAATATCAATATTGATCTTTAAAGGATGAGGAAGCACAAGGTCAAAGAGACTGAATTTTTTATTGAGGTCACACAGTTAAGCACATGTCAGAAATGGGATTTGAACCACATTCTCTTGACCCCGAGTTCAGCACGCTATCCACTGTGCCAAGAAGTCCCCCTTCCCTGTGTTTGCCGGATTCCCCTAGCCTTAAATCTCTACCCCTCCTGTCACGGACTTTATTGATATCGTGAATCTTGTCTCTTTGTCCATGAGTGAGTCGTTACAAAATGCCGCATTTAAAGTGAATCAGTAAAACTGATTACCATTATTCTTATGAGGATCTCAGGTTCATTAATTTCTAGTTAAAACATTCACATGATAGTTACTTGTTGAGAAATTCATTCATGCCAAAGCTTTATCGTTTTTTAGGGCACACATCCCCAAGCTTGAAGCATCTGCACAAGGATAGGTGAACAATCCAGAAATCCAGAAGATAGGACAGGAATCTGGGCAGAAGAAAAGACCTCCATTCATTTTTCAGGATCAAGGTTCTGGTGGACCTCAGTAGATAGAACATTCAATCTTCAAGGGAAATGTGCTCTAATGGAACAATGATGGAACTTCTTCACCAAAAGGTGTCATTATGGGGCAAAATAGAAGAGGCCGGAATAGAGTGGAGTGATGATTTAAGGGCCTGACTAGCTCCCTGGTTCACCAGAGACAGGAGAAGGGGATAATGTTCAAAGCTTGAATGCAGAGTTAGGAATGGAGTGTGAATCTGTGATTTCACTGGTATAGGGAATTTCTAGGTGAGTAAACTCCCTCCACCAATGCAGATTAGCATCTTCTCTGTAACTTAAAATCTTAAAGAGTTTCCTAGAACACAGAGATGATGTGACTTACCCAGGGTCACACACCCAGGACGTGTCAGAAGCGCAACTTGAATCCAGATCTTCCTAGCTTCAAGGACAGATCTCTCTCCACTATACCACCCTGAATTTAAAAACAAAATAAAACAAAACAAAACCATAAAATTTCCCATTGTCCTTCGATGGTGACTTCTGCACATCACTCCCTAACTTGCCTTGAGTGCCCTAGGAGGCTTATCCATTTGTTAGCCAGTGACATTTACAAACACAAAAGCCAATGTTTCAGACCTGATGATGTCATAAACACTGTTAGATACTATCTTTTCCCATAGCAAAGGATGGGGAAGCCCTTTATGAGGGAGTCTGGCTCTCTCATTTTGGAGTGGAGGAAACTGAGACCCAGAGAGGTTAATGGACTTGTACCTCCAACCTCCACCTTAAAGAATCTCTGGCTTTGCTTCTTCAAAGCTTAGCTCGGGTTCTATATCCTACATAAGGCTTCCCTCACCTCTTACTGACCCTTTCTCTCTCTTGAAATTACTTTGTATTTTTGTATATACCTTGTATTTACTTCTACAAATGTGATTTCCCTTTCGTAGAGTGTAAGCCCCCTGAGGGTAGGAACAGTTTAATTTTTGACTTTGTATTCTCAGCACTTAGCACAATGCCTGTTTCATGAAAGGAACTTAATAAATGTTTATTGACTTGAGCCAGGAGAAGAATCAAATTCAAACCTAGGTCTTCTGATGTCAAATCCAGCCTTCTTTGCATTAATCCATATTGTCTCGCAATACTTATGTACACCCTGAGCGTGTCAAATCAACATCTCATTAAATCGGTTTTCCCTTCAATTAATGCTAATTTAGTGAGATTTTACATTGTAATTCAAAGTTTCAGACTGACACTATACATAATAATCACATTTTATATGGAGTGATGGATATGATAGGATACAGGAGAGTAAGATGTTAGTACCCAAAATAGTTGACTCTATTTTGCCTTGTGCTGAACCTGGTTTCAAAGATTTTGCTTCTGTGATCTTACTGAATGATGGTTTTTGAAACTACCAATGAGTTTATTTTTTTCTATACCTGACTTTAGTATAGTTACCTCCAAACAGACATGGTGGGGGGAAGGGGCCCTGCAGAGAGGGGTAACTTCTCCTGCTTTAGATCTTTCCTGCCCACAGGAGTGATGGAAACCCTCCCCCTTAGCTTCCCCTGAACTCTCCCATATGGCCCTGGTGTTCTGCAGAGGCTCCTCTCATAATCCTTTCAACTGTAACTTTGACCCTGCCCCAATCTCCTATTCTCTTACCTCTAACCTAGCTCAGCCATCATTGTCTGCACCTGGCCCCACCCTAGACTAGACCCCTTCCACAAGGCCCAGGTTGCTGCAGCTCACCTGGAGTACCTTGCCCTTTCACGTCCTTCTGTTACTTACCAGTCACATGAGACCACTTGGCCCGTCCTTGATCACATTCAGATCTTCCCACAATCTTTCTGTATATAAAGTTCATCTTGCCCACCATTATATTGCTCAGATTCCTTAAGAGTCTGCCCACTTGTCAATATAAGTGTCACAAATGCTCAAATCCTTAAAATCTGGCCAATAGTGCAGACTCATTAGGCATTTCTCTCACCCCAATAGGCGTTTTAATAAACCTTGTCTCTGAAAGAAAGCTTGAGTCAAATTCATTAGAAGCAGGATCCGTGTCTTCTGCCCTTGAACTTCGGGGTTCCCAGCACCCATAGACTGCAACAGGAGGAGGCCTGTTGTTCAGGTGAATGGAACAATCTGTGAAGGGAGAGGACTTGGGCCTTCCCTCCGTCTGAGACCAACACGTGGGCAGTGAATATGGGCCTAGGTCCTTGTCTCTTTGCTTTTGTGTTTTCCTGCTTTAAGTGAAAGAAATTGAAGATGGTTACAATCTTATGAACTTTGAAAGGCCAGAAGAATGAGCCCACCACGCATCTGGAAGTTGAGGTCTGTGCTGAGATTTGTTAGAAGCCAGATGGTAAAGTGTCAAGTCCTAAGCAATCTGCCTGGTCAAGGTAAGCAGTAAAAGAGATGAGGAGTCATCTATCCATCTATTAACATTCAGAAGTTAACTTCAGAGAATGCTATGTAGGAACTATTTTAAGCCTACTGTCCCCAGAGACCTTGGTGGTATAGTCAAGAGTGTGTTTCCCCAAACTCCAGGCACTGGGGAGAAATGAGTATATTTCTTTGTTGTTGTTCAGTTATGTTTAACGCTTCATGACCCCATTTGTGATTTCCTTGGCAAAGATACTGGAGTGGTTTTCCATTTCCTTCTCCAACTCATTTTACAGATAAGAAAACTGAGGCAAACAGTGCCAAGTGAGTTGCCCGAGGTCACACAGCTAATAAGTGCCTGAGGTCACATTTGAACTCAGGAAGATGAATCTTCCTGACTTTAGGCCTCCTGGCACTCCATCCACTGTGTCACCTTCACTTCTTGTTATATTTCTTCAGTAGATATCCCTTTGTTAAAACTAAGATACAGATTAAGACCAAGACATAGAGACAAAGAGGAAGAGTAGTGACAGAAATTATAAAGTGCTTACACATTTTAAACACATATTCATGTATATTACCATTCTTTGCAAATAAGTATTAAATATTAAATAAATATTATAGAATTATATTATTCACATAATTATATTAAATGAGATTGTTAAAATATTACATAATTAAGTATGTTATTAATAAATAATTAGTAGTAATAAGAATACTACTATTGCTGCTGCTACTAACTAGTGAAATCAACAAGTATTTATAAAGCACTTACTAAGTATCAGGTCCTGTGTTAAGCATCAGGGATACAAAAAAAAGATACACCTTTTCTCTTAAAAGAGCTCATAGTCTGTTGAGCGAGAGAACATGGACAACTAGGTACATACAAGATACATGCTGAGTGGATGGAGGGGTCATTTTAGAAGAACCAAATTAGCCTCTGGGGATGGGATGGGGAAAGGTATCTTGCATAAGGAGGGTTTAAAGCTGAGTTTTGAAAGAGGCCAGCAAGGGTAGGAGTTGATGGTGAGGTGGTGGAGAGTTCTGGGGATAGAGACCAGATGGTGAAAGTGCATGAAGACGGAGGATGGAATGGCCTGACTCCACATACTCTTGAAGAAGGAGACTCTGAGGGGTAGGAGGTATAAAGGGTCTTATCACATGACTGAATGGCATGGAAAAAGCATAGCAGGGCATTGCAGCTCAGCTGAAGTTGGTTATCAGGGCAGGATATGATGAAGAGATGATAACGTACCTGGTTTTCAGAAATGAACCAAGAAGGAGGACTCCAACTTTATGAAGGTAGTACTTATTCCCTTAGATAACATTGGTAATAATAACAATGGTAGTTGTAATAACCAGCACATATACTCCTTTGTAATTACAACACATTTTACAAATATTATCTCATTTGCTATCCATCTACCAGGAGGTTAGTGCTATTAGTGTCTGCATTTTACAGATGAGGAAACTGAGAGGCAGACAGAGGTTGAAGTAATTAGCCCAGTGTCACACAGTTGGAAGACTTGATTTGAACTCGGGTCTTCCTGATTCTCAGTCTAGCACCATATCCAATATATACCTAGTTGCCTCCTTAGGGATCTAGGAAGCCGCCAAGGAAACGGGACAAGCAAGTCCTGGAATGTTTTTTTCTCTTTTTGGCAAAATCTAAAACCCATCACAAGGGGCAAGGAGGAGAGGTTGCCCTCATCCATGTTGTAGGGGTATACGTTAGTTCTACTGCAAGCATTCTATGAGTTATGCCACCAACTGCCTAAACGAGCTTTCCTGGTGTGGCTGATTGTTTGTAGTTAGCTTATTTTCTGTGATATGGTCTGTAAAACACCAACTCCCTTACACAAGGGTTAGTTGGAGGAATGGGATGTTTAGCCTGAATATAAGAAAACTAGGCAGAGAGGGAGTGGGGCTGATAGCAGTCTAAGGGGCCTTTGAGGACCTATCATTGGGAGGATACGTCGGGTGATGGTCTACTTGGCCCTGTACAGTAGTACAAACAGCAATGGATAAAAGTTGTCATGAGAGAAATTGAGTCTGGATGCCAGAGGCAGCACAAGACAAAATAAAACAAGCAAAAACTTCTTAACAATTAGAGCTATCCCAAAGTGGAACGGACTGTTCCAGGAGCTGGTGGAGGCTTCAAGCTGAGACTGGAGCACCACTGGCCAGCTAGGGTATCATTGAGATTTCCTTATGTTTGTGCTGGACCAATGACAGCAGAGGTGCCTTCTGGTTCTTTCCCATGATCTCCACATCCAGTCAATTGCCAAGTTTTGCCATATCTATCTCCATAATATTTCTCACACTGTCCCTTCTCCTCATTTACGTGACTGTCGCACTTCTCGCCTGGACTGTTGACATGGCTTCCTAAGTGGTCTCAGGGAATTCAGTCTTTCCCATCTCAAAGACATCCTCCACACGGCTAATCAAATGGAGATTCCTAAAGCAGTTATGACTTTTCACTGCCTTTCCTGAGAAACTTCATTGGTTCCCAATTGCCTTGAGGATAAAATAAAAACCCCTATGTTTGGCAACTAAAAACCTCGTGATGTGCCTGTTATCCCACTGTAATTGGGGCTGTTGCTTGGGCCAGAATAGAATCTAATTGCTCTTTTCTCAAGTACACTATGCTTCTTGCCTGAATGGTTGCCCCTCTGTCCCCTAAACCATATTGTTCCTCATCATTTTGCACAGATTTGAGAATCAGTATTTTCTTAAAAAGAGGCAGCTAGTGGTACAGTGGATAGAGTGCTGGGACTGGTGTCAGGAAGATTCACCTTCCTGAGTTCAAATTCAGCCTCAGACACTTATTCACTGTGTGACCTTGAGCAAGTCATTTAACCCTGTTTGCCTCAGTTTCCTCATCTGTGAAATGATCTGGAGAAGGAAATAGCAAACCATTCCAGTATTTCTGCCAAGAAAACCCCCAATAGGGTCACGAAGAGTCCGACACAACTAAACAATAACATGTTTTTTTTAAATCACCTCCTTTTTTAAATGGGAGGGGGATTATATTAGTAATCTAAACGTCAAGTGACCTATGGCTTGAGTTTAAAAGAATAAATAAAACATTGAAGCGCTTAGTAGGCACTTGTGAAGTATTTATGCCTAGAACACTTGGCTTTGATGATAGCGAAAGGCTGAGAAATTCAGAGGAACTAATCCTTGTTTATTCTTCTTGGTACATGTCAGAGATAATGGAATTTGTGGTTTAGGATAGCTCTCAGGGCGTCACAACTCTTGGCAAGGCTCATCTGCCTGTTTGGAGATTGTGTCTCTGTTTTCTCCACATGACTTGGAAAACCTACATATAATAACAATATATTTATGTAGCAACTACTATGTGCCAGGCACTGTGCTAGGCACTTTATAATTATTACCTCATTGGTCCTCACAACAGTCTGGGGAGGTAGGCACTATATATTTTTAAAATGAGGAAACTGAGGCAAATGGAAATTATGACTTGCCTGAGGTCACACATTAAGGGTTTGAGTCTGGATTTGAACTCAGATCTTCCTGACTGTAGGCCCACCACTCTTCCCACCTTGCCTCCTACCTTATGTGACATCTTTAAGCAACAGAAGCACATGCACAATACAGGACACATTTGGAATTTTATTGGCACCAAGTGGTACCCAGGCAGATTCCTGCTCATCTGGGACGTAGAAGTTAATTCTTGACAAGTTAGGTAAGACCCATAGAGGTAAGGTGACTTGCGTAGGGTCCAATAGTTGGAGATTGTCAAGTGTAGGACTTGAACCCAGGTCTTCCTGTGGGCAGGGAGAAGAGCTGGATTTGGAGTAAGA